ACACCTTCGTGTCCGTCAGTGCAGACGCTAGTCTGCGTGCATTCGACCTACATTGCATCGAGCACTCGACGATTCTACACGAGACACATGCGCAGAAGAACATGCCGGATCCATCGGCCCAAGAGCCCCTGCAGTCACTCCTTCTCACCGCCTTCGCACATTACGGTCGCCATGGCAGCACCACTTGGATCTGCGAGAGCGTACGTGCACGTTGACGTGCGCTCGGCGGTGTACCACACGCTGCAACGGGCATGCTATGTCTTGCCGTACCATGCCACCATTGCGCCTGGACCTCCAGGATCGCCCGCGACGGTCAAGTGCCTACTACCGTCCGAACTCATTGAGACACGTCTGCTCGCCGCACTACTGCAATTCGTGCCCATATAGCAATGTCGGGATCAATCGCCCGCTCACTATCAGTACCTCAATCGCTCCATTTCTCTCTCCCCTCCCACTGCCCGTGTCCCCGCGTACGCCTCGTTCCCACCTCCCTGCGTCGACCGTCATGGCCCAGCAGAAGCAGAAGCCCACCCTCGATCAGCACGTCGTCTGTCAATCCGCCCGCGACGATCTTCACCTGCCCCGAGCCCCAGTTGACGGCGGCGTCGCCTCACTCTTCAACCTCGTCTTCACCTGGAATTCCAAGGGCGGCGCACTCCGCGATGCGTTCTGGCGCGCGCGCCTACCGAACGTCATGAAACTCATCGCGAGACACTTGCAGTCGAGTACGCCGCGCGTGACAGTCGCAGATAATTCCGCTCTCGTACGTCCACCGCGGTCTCCCAGCTTGTATCTGACCGCCACAGCGTCCCGGCGACTCCTTTCAGAAGTTTCATTCCCGGACCCACTTGCTCTTCCCAGCTTTAGTCTTTCTCCCGCGCAACCATCCTTGCTTCAATTCACCATGTCCACTCGACTCACCGCCTCGCCTGTCGTCGTCTGGTACTCCCCGAAAGCCACCCGCTTCGCTCACGACTCGGGTGGACATCGTCCATCGCGCAAATTGCGTCCCTGCCTGGTCACCAAGGTCTGTGGCGACTGGATCCGCGTAGCACCGCTACTGTCCGCGCGTCCGGACAGCCAGGTATACCGTATATCGACTGATCCTTCGTTCCTACCCTCTAACGGCTGCACCGCGAAGATGACAGCGTCGTCCTGGAGCATCGTGAACTTCGGTGAACATGGCCCCGCTCCACCCGTCCACCCTCTGCCCGGTGCGACTGTCTTCGACCTGCCTCTGCTTAAGAGACCGGATAGCTGGCGGCCGACGCCGTGTTTTGTTTGGACGCGCGATGGAGGGATGTGGATCGACATCGCCGAACTGGGAATCGGCAAGGCTCGCGTACTGGACGGCGACTTCGACTTCGACGGGGACAAGGTCACGGAGCTGCGGGAGAAGCACAAAAGCATAGGTAAGTGCCTGGTCTACAGCATAGCGACCAAGCTGACTATTCTGAAGTGGTGTGGCATTAGGGCCCGGTGCGATGACGCAGGGATGGACTCGAATGACCACTCGCGCGTGCAGTTTGTATGTGATGAAGTATGGCTTGACTGACATGTATCCCCCACCCTCCCCATGTAACGCCCTTGATTACCGATCGCGCTCCGTCGGCTTCATTGATTGTCACCCCCTCGAGCCGTCTTGCGCGCGCGTAGCAATAGCCCTGTGCCTGCAATCCACGAGTCTCGCGCCCGCTGTGCACGAGCACGACCGGCCGCCCGACGCACCACCGCGACTCGCCGTGCCGAAATGCGACGACATACGCTCTCTTCGCCCGCCCTTCCTTTGTCACCAGCCCGCTCGCCATTCGCCTGCCCTTCGTGTCACTCACCTGGTCTCCCCAGGCTGTGCCTCGCTGAGGGGCGTGCCGCCGCTCTCTCTCGACAGTCCGTGCGATTCGTGACGGACGCCCGATGTCTGCTCATCGTGCACATGCCGGTTCCTGCAACCCTTTCACCCATCCCAGCCCGGGTATACACCCTACACCGCGAGCTTACCCCCATTCGCGTTCGATCTTTGTCACAGCACATACCCAACCGGCCGCTGCCCTCACCATGTGTCGAGCGCGACGCGCAAAACGTTCACCGTGCCGTCTACAAAAACGGCTCGCAGAGGGTGGATCGTGCGTAGCACTCCGGTGAGTATCTATGCCACATCGACCACTGCAATGTACTGATCGATTATTGGCCGTGACTACTTTCCTCAATCCGCAGCTGCCTGTCGAGCTCATATTATCGTGGGCGGTCGATAACGAATCAGGCGCCATTTCGGTGACGTGGCGGTGATGCAGCGTACAATGCGACATCCGTACCGAACGGCACGCGCGTTGAACGGTGATCACCGCGGTCGAGGAAGCGAATGCAAGGCCTGCCCGGATGCTGGACAGATTGCTCCCTGTTGCAAGACGTGTCCGACTGTTTCATACTTCTCTGCCCGCATCTGTTATACACAAAATATCTGCCAGCAAACACGACAGAGTGCGCAATCTCTGACAAAAGCAACGTCGAGTGGGAAGAATCATGGGCTCGATCTACCCCGCGCAAAGATTTATCCTCCAAATACGACTTCACGCTCCCGCCGCTGCAAGGCCACAGTCTCGATGAGCACTTCCACACCATCGGCGCGAGCGCGGCACAGCCCTGGCTCTCGCTCGCGCAGGATCTTGCGGGCGTCGAGCTTTCCCCCGCGACCCGACCACTGGAACGTCCAGGCGGGATGGACGCGGTACCTCTACCACCCGGACGGTTCGAGTTCATACGAGCACGCCGAGTACCCTGACTTCAACGGCCAGGCGGAGGAGATGCTCATGTTCGACGTGGAGGCGCTCCCGGCGTACAGCCCGTATGCCGTCATGGCTGCGCCGCGTCGAAGTACGCGTGGTATTCCGGGGTCTCACCGTGGCTTCTGGGAGACGAGGCAGAGGAGGAAGCCGTCACCGGACGGCTGGGCAGGTTCCACAGGCGCTTTGAGGGCCTCGGTGGGTCGGGTTCGGCGTGGTAGGAGCAGGCGGATACGGCGGAGGGCGTGGATGCGTTGTAGATGCAGATGGAGGCGCAGGAAGCCCTGGACCATCTACGTCAACCGCAAGAGCTGGTTCGGCCGGTGGTGGGGTGTAACAGTGAGTGCGGTTGTTTGTGTGGGGCACCGTGTTGATGTGAGGCGGTTCCGTAGATGCTCTGATGTCCCCTGGGTTGGGATTCGGTCCTATACTGTCCAAGGCGCGCTCGTTGACGGACAGTATGATCGTCGCGGGGGCACAGCGACTAGCGTCCCTCGCGCCCGCGCTGAATGAACCCGACGACGCGCTCCTACCGGACTTTGGAGACTCGCCGAAGATCAACTACGAGGTGACCTGTGGCGGGACGCGCCATCGAGGAGGGTGCTGCGGCTGTGGAGTGGACGAAGGAGGAGCTAAGGAAGAAGGTGGGGCATCGAGTCCGCTGGATTGCGTGGAAGACAGAAGGGCGGGGAGTGAGCAGAAGTTTACGAGCTTGGCTTATGTGAGTGATCGCCACTGCTGATATTACAGTGTCGGAAAACGAGCTAACAGACTCTCAGCGCGTTCCGCATCCCGTCGTCAAGCTTCGCCTGCGGATGCACTGTTCGCCTGTACAAGCCAGTAGACCAGAAGAATGCACGCGCCGATGATCCGTATCGCACCTTCGGGTTCGCGGTATCTGGCTGCTTATATTATGAAGACCTCCTACCGCCACAAGTCGTTTACGCTGCGGACGTCGTATGTCCGTTCACGTATACACTATACTATTCCAGTGTTCCGGCTCCCAATTTTGCTACCGAGACGCTAGCTATGACGTCTCAGAAGACTGGAGAGATTCATGTATTTCCTATCATAAAGGTATGTTGAGTACCTTTATGCACGTAGAGACTGATATCTGTCACAGGACATGTATATCTCATCGTTGTCGAGCATCCCTGAGGCTGACGCCAACTCTGACCTTGAGGAGTGAGTTCCGGCCGACGCCCAGCGCGCGATCTAAGACGTTACGGCACTGCCTGCGAAATGTCCACGTCGCGCTTGCCTACCGCCGAGCCGAAGGGCGACTACAAGTGGCACAGCCGCATGCGCTCACGCCCGGTGCCCGTATTGGGTCTCAAGCGGAAGGTGATTCCTGGGCCGATGGTCTGTCGATGCTGGGATTACATGCCAGCTGAATCCACCGACACGAATGCGCGCGACTTCGGCCAGGTCATATTCACGATGTGAATACCACTCGGCGTGAATAACGGGCACGTCGATAGGTGAATCATCACCTAGCTGATTGATGATTCACCTTTCGGCTCTGGGACGAATCACGCACACCGATTGATGATTCACCTTTCGGCTCTGGGATGAATCGCGCATACTGATTGACTAACATACGGACTGTACGACTTTCTAACAATATATGTTTAAATTTCAAATGTTATGCGTTGGAACATAAGAAATTTACATGCCATGTTCGAGGCACGACAATTATGACAGTTAGTACATCGTAAACAATGTCTGTCCGTAAAGCGAACATTACGTATGATCGCCCCTCGTACATTGTCATTACATTTAAAATGTGTGTCCTTTGTTCCCGCAATGCACGACACTCTAACATTTTAAATTTACTAGCAATGCTAGAACGACTACCATTGTCTGACCATACATAATTTAGTCGCAATGTACGCGCTGCTAACATGAGGAGAACATGTGGCCAATGTACTGTAGCCGAACATAACATTTGTCAGCCGCTATGTACGAAAAGTCTTACATTCGGTGAACATTTCATTTTTAAGTGCCATGTTATGGAACCGTACATGGCCTCTTAGAAAACTACTGACCCTTTCTATTTAAGATCAATGTTCGAGCTTTTTAAACACCGATTTGTCCACTGTGAAGGGCGAGTAGGATGCGGAAGTAGGTGGAGAGGGGAGAGATGAGCACGGGATGCGGAAGTAGGTGGAGAGGGGAGAGATGAGCACGGAGAAGGAGGGGTAGTAGTGCGTGATGAACTCACGCGTGGTCACCGTTGTTGGACGTGGACAGCGGGTCCGAGAGGTCTGCGGGCAGCGGCGTGTTCGCGGAGCTAGCGCTGCGGTACTGCTCGTCGAGCTTGTAGAGCTCGATCGGTTCGAGCGTGTGGCGCGCAATGGCGAGGAGGATGTCGGACTCGACATGCGGGAATTGGTCCAGGAGTAACCGCGCTTGTGACGGGATGGGCGCAGCCTCATGCCGCCCCATCCGAACACCGAGGCCGACGCAAGAGTCAAGAGTCCACAGTGGGAACAATGACCGGCTAAGCCAGGTGATTATCCTCCTGAGCTTCGCGCCAGCAGGGTCCCGTATAAACAGGGGAGTTTGGGGAAGGAGGGCAGAGGCGGCAGCGCTCGAGAAGCGGTAGGGGAGTGGCAGCGAGACGAGCATCATGGAGACGGCGGCGGCGAGTCCTCGATTTGTGGCGATGAAGACCATATAGACTTACCGGACGCGCGGTAGATGTTAGTACACTGTCGCAGAACGAGCGTGCTATGTGGCCGTGTCGAGGTCGCTGACTTGCCACCGCCGCAAGAAAACAAGCGCCCATACGCGTCGGGGCAAACCTCAGGCCTCTGCCTGCCTCTCTGCCTGTTCCCGACGCTACCACTTCTCATGCCCTCAACAATTCCTCCGAATTCACCTTGAGGCTTGTGCTCTGTTACGACCTACATCACATGACCTATCACTCAAGCCGTCGCGCGCAGCGCCGAAGTCGTCGAGGTCCTCTACGATCCACATGAGTCGGGGACACAAGCCACTATCATCGAACGCAGTCTTCCGCGCAGGATTATTGTAAGCCCCGTCCTTTCTGTAGTCTCTACTCTTCTAATATATATCATCTATATGGTATCACACAGGGATCCTCCTATGACCACAACACGCACACCGCTTGCCAGTGTCGCGCGTTGACCGGAGGTCGTCGCGCACAGATATAGACAACGGGCTTTCTCAGAGCAGCGAATATGGGGGAGAAATTACCCTATTGAGTGCGTATGTTACCACAAAATTCACTGTATGCAATTTGACAAGCATATAGCGTCACGTCTCAGCGATCGAAAATCCTCAAGGGTCGAGGTCAGGTTCTATGCGCTCAGCTCTCTCGCTGCTCGTCGGACTACACCCATGGGTATCCCGAAGCATACTCGGACCCTTACCCGCCCGGGTACTGATGCATGTGAACGGGTACGGGTTACCGGCGGGTTGCGGCAGGTCAGACGGGTCATGCAGTCCGCGCTGGGGAGTGCAAAGAAGCTGGTATGAGAGGCAAGCGAGAGAGCACGTTCTCTTCAGTGTGCTCATGTATGGTCAACAGGGATGCGCCGCGCTCGCGCACAACAACGCCCGCCAGAAGAGACCATTGGCACCTGGAAGTGGGGCGATCCGCGGTACTCAGGCGTCCGAGCGGGCGCAGCATGTCCCACAATTAGAGACATCGACGACACCATCTGCGAGGTCGATCCTGCGTCCTCGGGCCGTCGCGCGCGTTTATGCCAGTGTCCTTGTCACACGACTGGCGATTCGCGGCGTGGTAGTCGATATCCTCGCTACGACACGGTTCTGGTCAACGTCAATCCCGAAGAATCAGGATTTCGTGGGCTCGAGGTTGGCCGTGCGATGGGGCTCATTGCGTTCTCATTGGCTGCGAGATCCCCGAAATGTCATACTGACGTCCTGAGCCTTTCCCTAAGCAAGGTAGTTGTTTCTTCTGACGGAATGTGTACGCTGAGGTACGGGAAGCAACTTGTCAGTGATTTCAGAGCGTCAGCAAATTCCGACTTTGCTGATGCTCAATGACCATAATTTGACATCTCCAGAGCGTCGCCTGCGAAGCGTGCAGGGAAAGAATTCTTTTGACGACAGCAACATCGTGCAGGAGTATAGCACCTGGATTCAGGGTACACTGGTAACTTCTCCAGTGGTAATCCTCGTACGTGCTAAAATCGACCATCTTTGTCGCCGCAGACCGTGCTGACTGCTGTTGCATACTTGCAGTGTGCCTTGTATCGGTACAGTGTCAGATATCGATGGGTCGGGCATCCGCTGAAGGCGATCAACGTGACCACCGCTCGAAGACACCGGCGATCAATCGTGCACGTTGACTAGCACAGCTGACGTGCCTTACTGTGCAGCCAATTTGACTCAACAACTATCGTATGCAGGAATTGAATGAATGGAATTCCATCTGAGCGACCCGCGGTGCCGGCCATATTTGTACGTCTGTGCTCACGATGTGCCATCTGTGCTCACTGCGCCATCTGTGCTGACACCATCTGTGCTGATGATGACATGCTGTTGGTGTAATACTCGCAGAATGTATCATGCTAGCAATCTCCGACCGCCGTTCCTCAAAAACTGTATGTTTCCAGCATGTCCGACACGAAGGGTTACTCGAATCCAGAAGTTTCGCGGATAGTACGCCAACGAAGTGAGTCGTGCACATTTTACGGATGATGCCGTCGGCGATATTCGTCCAGGTTTGACCCTTCGTAGAGTAAGCCAAACACGCAAGCAATCACATCTCGCGTCGGTGACCTCGAGATCCAGTTCGACCTCAACGTACCCACCAACATTACAGGCACTGCCCATGGTCATCTTCATTCATGGCGGCGGCCTGGTAGCGGGCTTCCGCAACGAGGCCAGCTCGGCCAGATTTACGGACTTCGTCCGCGGTATGGGTTCCATGCAAGCTATGTATCCTTCCCTGCGCAAACTGACAATGATATTGATGCAGACTTCGCTCTCTCGCGCGGATTCCTCTTCATCTCACCGGACCATCGCTTGGTGTGGCCGTCTGCCGGTCTCGACATCATCGAAGACATGAAAACCCTCTTCGCCTTCCCTGCAGATTCTAGCTTCTCCGAGACGTACCTCCCTTCGGGTGTGTCCCTCGACACTCCGCGCATCGCTGCCCTCGGCGTGATCGCTGAAGCTTGATCGGATAGGTGCTCGGCATTGTCGAGTGGCGGCTGGCCGAGCGAGGAGGGAGTCGCCAAGCCCATGCTCACTCGCTCGCCCATACTCCCTCTCGCTCGAGAGAGAAGAGTAGGCACCGACGGATACTGCTCGCCACACGTAAGCATGACGAATGATCGCTCGCTGTACCTGTGCGAGGGCCGCTGCTGGTGTTTTGCGTGCATTGGGCATTGGGTAGTGCAAGCCGGCGTGACAGGCCTGATTCGCATGTGCGTCAGGCGCCCTCAGAGCCCGCGCTGTTTTCCTGATCAGTGCAGACAATTGGTAGTAGGAATTTGAAGTTGTTTTGAGTTGGACGCCAAGGTGCCCAAGACCAATGACTGTCGGTTGCAACTCTTTCAAGATCTGCACTGCCAGTCTGCACGTGAACCAAGTGACATGTCATATCAAGAGGCCAATTGTCATACAATAATGTCTATACAAACTACGTATATGAGACAGACACTACAACGGGTACAGGAAAGCAATATGATAGCTTTACATTCACGACGATGCGAACAACGATGCATAAGACGAAGACGGAAGGACGATCGACATGAGCGACACGAACTGTATAGCACATGACACGACCGCGCATACTTACCGCCTTACCGCCGCCCACTAGTCTCGCTCCTCAGCTCACGGCCGGTGGCTAACAAGGTCAGATCGCCCGTGATCAGGTTGAGAGGAGCCTCGAAGGAGCTGTCGCCAGAGCCACCGCTCTGCGGTTCAAAGGAGCTGTTCGCCGATTCGTCGCTGTGCGCGTCTTCCTGCAACTGGACGGGGTTTGTCTGCGGCGGCGGCGTGTTCACGCGCTGCTTCTTGCGGAAGCTTGCGATGATTTCGTCGTCGCCATCCTTCTCAGTGTTGTCGAGACGTCGTTTCATACTCGCGGCAACCTCGCGGAGCATTGCGCGCTCATCGGCACCTGCGGGTGCATCCGGGTCGTTGTTGTCAATTCGGTAACCGTGGTTGGCCCATTTGTCCTCCGCCATCTGGTATGCAGCGATCCAGATGTCATTGGCTAAGCTCGGGATCGGGTCCGGGATGGAAGGGTGGGAGAAGTTGGGAGTCTCTTCGAGCTCCTTCACCGCGCGACGTATGAGGTGTTTGTCGTTTGTCTTGATCACCTCTGAGAGCATCGCGCTCAATCGCTGATTGTGTGCCGCCTCGCGAATGTCTCGGATCGCACCTTGGTACTTGTTGACGACGTGATCGCGCACTTGAGCGACCTCTGACCCCTCCTCATATCTGCGTTGGATGGGCTGCGTGAGTGCAAGTGAGCAATAATCAAACACAATATAGGTAAAGATAAACATTACATACCACGCAGTACCTCCAATGGACCCAGTCCTGAGGCACTGAGTAGTTGTCGAGGCAATGTCGCAGTTCCTGCCGATCCTCTGGGATGAAGACGAACAACTGCGCTTGGAGCCTACCGACGAGCACCTCACCTCCACGCTTCCAGCCAGTAGACAAGATGTCATTCCCCTCGCCGCATCCAGCTACAAACCCTTTATCGTCGGGCTCCGATTTGTCCTTATCTGGATCCTTGTACTCAAGTTCTTCGAGGTTGATTGCCGTGAAGAGCAGCGGACCCCTGTTGTGGCACACGCGCATCGCGACGTGGAGCTGTAGATAGGTCAGTCAGTGACAGATCAAATATCGTGGTTTGCTGACTTGGTTCAGCACATTCTTGAGGATCTGGGTGTACGACGTCTCGTTCACGAATGTGTCGCGAACGATGCGGATCGAATCGGTCGTTGATAGTCTCTTCGTCGTGGCGATGGTCATCACAGTGTCCAGGGTGTGTCCAACGTTGTCGTTGAGGAGTCCACGTGTGCCGTCCATGGAAACGGCTTGGGGCGATGAGACGGTGACAGCGCTGTTGACTGCATTCGTCATCGAATCGTTGACTATCTGATGGAGGCTTGACGGCCCGTATACCTCGAGGTTGCCCATGGCGGGGTTGTACACGAAGCTGTCCGGGAATGTTCAGAGTGTGTGGTGGTGTCATAAGTCGCGCGTACTCACGATAGGTAACGTAGAAGTAACATATGGTCTTCAATGAAAAGTCTTGTAGCTTTCCAATCCTGTTCTGTAATGTTGTTGCGGATGATGAGAGTGTTGAACAGTCGAGGGAAATCGGGTTCTTCCAGCAGCTCTCCGAAGATCTTGTCGGCGAAGTGCCACTTCTTGATCGCGCCGCCGAGCTCTACGATATCGTCGTAATGCCCAGGACCCAGCACAGGGGAGGACGTTGGATCGCTCGCAGAGGATAGGGGAGGGGAGAGCGATGCACCTGAGGTGCGTTGAGTGACACTGCTTCTGCGGTTGATGCGAATCAATGAACTTACCTTCAGTATCTCCCTCCCAAACACCGTCGTCGGTAATTGCAGGCTGAGCCTTTGAAGGTAACCCGTCGAAGTGAGTGCAACTGACGTGGCCCTCGTCCGAACCAGGGTCAGCGACGATGTGAGGACCGTGCCCATAAACATAACGTATGGAGGACATGGAGGAGAAGTGTTCGGTACCTGAGGGATGGCGGAGGGAAAGAAGTCATAGAGCCAGATGACTGCATGGGCGCCACCGTGTCAGAAGCCAGCCCCCAAGGCCAAGGGGCCCCAGTCTGGCGTAGATTATCTTATAAGTTAACACCGTACTGTAGCGGTGTTACAGGCACCGCGGGCAACGGTCACTGATGTTATTAGCAATCTTCGGAGTCCGAAAAACCTGGTTTGCCCGCGGTGAGGGAGCCACAGTTTGGCCACAGGGGCCACCTCTACGCGAGGAGACAATGTGAGTGGCAACGATGCTTGGCACCGCAACAAGGCCACTTAGCGTCAAAGCGAGCGGCGACGGGTGTCCACAGTGGCTGATTGCATTGAGCTGGTGCATTGGGATACATTCATGAGAGAAGGTATGTCTTTTGGTGCAAGTATGTATCTACACAGGATGGGCAGTCTGTGCCACACGTGGATGCTGAAGAAGGAGAACAGGAGGGCAAGGAAGACGATGGAACTGCGTCGCAAACGTATTTACATAGTATTTGAGGGCACAGGCGTCCACGGACTTGAATAGCTCAACGTCATCACAGCCGCCGATCGTCGACGCATTGGATCGTACTGTTTCAGGAACATTGGGCCAAGAACACATCACAGAGAGGAGAGCTTGCAGATTCCCGCGGCGCTTCTCCCAACCATCCTCGCCGGCGGGGGTCCAACAGAAGGACGGTGTAGATACGTCGACGACGGAGAAACCGGATTCATACTCTTTGGAGAGCCACACTTGAGCGATGCGTTGCTCGCGCTCCCAATGGCGGAAGGCGTCATCGGATCGTCCAGCCAGTCGCGTGTCGAGCGCGCGCAGTTCACAACGCCAATTCGTTTCGTATAGCTCCCATATCATGAGTGCAAGGAGGTGTCCAGGATTTTTGGCGAGGTCCAGGTTGACTTCAAAGCCGCGGTACAACGAGACATCGCTTTCGTTGTAGGATGTGAGCCCACCACCTTTGGCGAAGAGCCGTCGAACCGCCTGTGTACGTTCATAGAGGTAACTGTGTGTTTGAGCCTGCGATAGGGTATCACCCTCTGATGCTCGAGCGATTGAGCCCCGGATCGCGTCGCTTGGCTCATCAAGACGATAGTCGCCATATAGTACGTGGCGCCAATCAGCAACACGCAGCGGCGTGCCATTGATGGAGGAGTCGACGAGCCGCGCCTGGCAGAACTGACGCACGCGTGCATAATTGTGGATGTACCGCGATTGTTTGGTCTTGGAATTGAGGATGACGAAAGGTGGGGGAAAGTAGTACTCAGAGGCGACGGGAGGTGGGAACAGCAGCGGAGAGGCCTGCGAGAGCGCAGCAACCCAGTTGGGAGAAACACGCACAAGATCAGGAGGTGGAAGCTGGAGTTCGGTGGCTGGATGGGGGCCCGAGTTGGAGGCTTTCGTGCCACTCTTGCGACCTTGCGAGCGTGTTCCTCTCTTGCTAGACTTATGAGCGGGTGGCTGCGCCTTCGCTGGAGCGAGGATAGGCTTGGAGGCATCGTCTGCCTTGTGTCTTTTCGCTTCATTCTCTACATCCTCTGCCCTAGAGACAACCTGAAGTCGAGGGAGTGCGGAAGATGCCAGCATGTTGCTGACGAAGATTACTGACGAATGGGTCCAGCCCGCGGGGTCCTGATGTGTACCATCGGGATCATACCATGATTTAGGAATGCGGGGGGAGGCCGGTACATGGCTGAGGATAGAATCCCAGCGACGCGGCCGAACTATCTTGTGTATCTTGATGTGGGTGGACCAAGGGCGGATGTGCCAACACGGAAGGCCCAAACGGTGGAACAATTGGGCGGCGGCATCGTTCCGTACGAAGGCCCCAAGGACGTTGAGCAGAGGAGCAGGGGTGGTGTGGTTCGAACTGAACCGGACACTAACGACCTCGTAGTATACTGTCAGTCCGGCGAGCTCGAGCATGAGGCGATGCGCCATTCGAGCAGTTACCATCGCGTGTTGTTTCGTACACGGCAGAGCCATCAAACGATCCACAGCATTCCTCAAGAGGATGCCTAGGGTCCCTCCCAGGCGACGGTCGACTCCTGCATCCGAGTAAAACGCCTTTTCATTGCGTTTGCGTGCTGCAGCCTCGGCCTTATCGTAACCCGCGAGTACTCGCACGGCCATCTCAGCCAGCTCCGTCATTACAGGGGAACGAAGCTGCCCAAAATCTGCTACCCCACAGCCCTTGGACTGGTCCCATGGGTCGAAACCGAGGCCCTCGTAGACCTGGTACCCCGGCGCGTACGGAGACTGTTCAGTCGGAATGCAGGCGTGGTGGATACACCGGTTGTTGTATACCTGAGGCCAACGCGTGTACTCTTGGGGGCCCCAGAGCCCATCCTCACGAGTGACGATCTCCTGACCTGATATGCGCGGAAACTCCGGCACCCAGTTCATATTCGGGGACGTGAAGACGTTACAGTCATCCTCAGCGTCCGCGGCACATTTCGCGTCGAAGGGGCCTATGGGCCAGCGCAATTCTATCCAAACGCGCATGAGCCGATGGTCATCCAGCCAGTGTATATGAAGGTCACGTACCTGACGCGGGTGAGACCTTTAGGACGAACTCGATGAAATGGACAGGGCGGTTGAGATTGGCGTCGGCCATGGTGTGATCCTGGATACGAAAATGAGTCGTCGTCACACCAAGGTGTGTCCAGTGACATACCTGGGCGACACAAATACGGAGTTAGGTTCAAGATAGGATACCCGTGAGGCGAGTTGAGACCTGGAGACCCTGCAGCCACTATCAGCGACTTCAAACGTAGGGTAGGATAATACCCACGGATACAGAAATGTTCGGAATGCGTTGAACCCACTTGTCCGGGAGCGGGGCGAGCGCGGATTTTGAGTGCACAACCAGTGTTCAAGTGCGAATCTGGTCACCAGCGTAAGCTTCTGAGCAGTTGGACCCAAACAGGCTTACCTAGGAGCGTTCAATATACGTCGTTCGCCGACAGAGAAAAGCAGAAGTCGCGGTTGATATTTCCCGGCGAACCAGTCTTGACCCGAAAGTCAGTATCACACGCGCGGCGTGCTCAGAAACCCACTAACTCAGTCAAGATGATGATCCACGGCCTCCGTGACGTGCTTGAAGAGCGTGAACCACCGTTGGGCGGGCGACAGAGGTGTTGAGGAGCCAAGCGTTGACGACCTGAGCGAGGGAATGCCAGGCAGCAGTTAAACCGCGCCTTTGGCTACGTTCGCGCAGGGAGATCGAAATCTTCCTAAATCGCAGAACAATGAGGGTGGGGAAGTGAAGATGAAGCAGCGAAGCAGAGGAAAAAGGCGGAGAGGAAGAAGGCCTTCAAGGAGCGGCAGCCAAGAGTGAGGTCAGAGGACGTCCTCCAACTCGTCGGAGTCGTAGAGTTGTACGCGATCTCTCGTCAGCTGGCGTCTACCATACCATATCGGGCACGCTCACTCGACTCCGCGCGCCAAGTCCCCATTCCTGGTCCATCGCAACACGGCGTCCTCTAACATCGGCCACCCGTCTCCTCCTCCGTATTCTCACCAGTAACCCTGTGTCAGCTCCCTACCGGCCTCTTGGTAACCCGGACGTCCGCTTTGATTACGACCATGTGCTGATGTCCGGGTGGGGAACTCCTGCTCTCGTATGAGCAGTTGAGTGAACCTTTGCCGCTCTTTCAAGACGGCCTTCAAGATCCACGGGCCACTGCACCTTCACTCATGCAAGCCGCACGAATTCCCTCTCTCCATGTCTCTTAAGAAGCCCGACTGAGGAATCTTGCTACCGGAAACTGTTGTTGTATGTCTGCAAAATCTTGCACTTGACGCACTTACTTCGCAAACTCATCAAAGCAGCTAGATCATTGCATGCCTCGCATCCGATGGGACACGCTCCTTGAGCTCAGCTGCCCCGTCTTCATCGTGCACGACAAGACCCACTGGCCCGCTTTCCCGCAGCGGACGAAGTGACATGGCCATAGGTGCGTAGCACGAAGGCTGACGACCTCCGCTTGTTCGCTGATTATGTGTTCTTCCTCTCTATCTGCACGTTCACTGTCGTCTCGCATACGCGTCAATGATCAACCGGGGTATCAACAAGATCCGTCGCTTTGTTCGTTGCAAGGAGTGGCGCGAGGCGCGAAGCCCGCCGGGACGCTTTGGGCATACGCCACAGGTGCGTCGAACAAAGGATACCATCTTGTCTTGTTCTCTAATCTCCTCGTTGTCTGCTTCCTGTCTGCACACTGCGCGTCTTCAGCCCGTCCAAATGCCGCGCAGCAAGCACAACAAGAAGGAGCCCGCGACTTTGGTTGACCCCGGCGGCGAGCTCATCCCTGATGGCCCCGCGACCAACGATGCAGAAGTTTGACACGTTGAGAGAGGCCAGCGATGTACTGATATTGGACGCTGATTTGGCGATGAGTGCAAAGCAGATCGGCGGCGTGCGTCGCTTACTCCGGGCAGTTTGTAAGTGTCAAACTTGGATTCCGTCACTCTGTTCTGACTTCTGCATAGCGGGAGGGTTGGCAAGCTCCAAGTGACGCGTTGCGAACCTGTGTTTTACAGACGGGCCCGTTGTCCATTTATGTTTGTATGAGGTACTAGAAGCATACAGTGTTTACCTGCTCTCGTGAACGATGCGCGCGTCCCATTCGATACCCCCCTATGCTGTGCCGGAGCATTGCACACTGTGCGCGCATCGCAACGGCGCTCGTAATCTCGTCTGACGCTGCCACATGTCCCAATTTCCACCCATTGCGCACCCTCCTCCTGTGACCTCCCGCGCTGTACCCACCGTCTGGCTGGCGCGCGCCTTCTCCGCATTGTTCCCGCACCCGCCAATGGCGCCGATAACTGTGCCCTGTCCTTGCGATCGCATCCGACTTGATCTCGCCGTTCTCTGCCCTGTCCACGTTCATCTCTCGTTTCTGGCGCGAGCTCACTGCTCTTCTCGGCACCAAGTGTCGCGCCCCGACCGTCTATGACCCGCAGACAGACGGCCTTACAGACCAGACAAACCAGACACTGGAGGTGTACCTACGTGCCTACACGCGCTATCAGCGAACGACTGGGTCGAATAGCTCCCTCTCACCGAGTTCGCATTCAACACCGCCCCAAACGCCTCAACGAAGCAGACACCGTACTTCGCCAACTTCGTTCATCATCCCACCTTCGAGGCTTATCGTCACAGGCTGAGGAGGACGGTAGCCACGTGCATCGTGAAGATTCCTCGTAACTTTGACTTCAAGTTACTGAGTGTGAACCTGCCATCTGCCTAGTCTCGCCGCAAGACCCTCCACGAGGGGTTTGTGCTGCCTACCATCTACTACTACTCCACCACTATGCAATACTCTCAATCGCAACCTGCGCTATACACGCATCACTGGGTCGCATGAAGGAACAGGTCGCTGCTACCGGGATATGGGCCTCGGCCCTCGACTCAACCAGCTGCCCGCTCGGTAGTCGCGTCAGGTGGTACCTCATCGAAGGTGGCGCACCCAGACGTCCAGAGAAGACTGTAGGGCTCACATGGGAGGCCGTGAGAGCGGGAGGCGGCGATGGCTGTGGGACGAGGTTGTGAGTACAGTATGTTGATATCCGATCAAGCTCATACAGTGCTGACTGGCAGCTTCCCTGTCTACGCAGCTAGCTGCTGGTGCAGCAGTGGAAGAGGCACGTCCGTCAGCCCGGCACGAGGTACGAGCTTGGTTATAATCAGACAGACATACGAAGCTGTGTGCGTATCGTCTAGTGGATGCGGCGGCATAGATTGTAACCGTCGTCGCGAAGTATGATCAGACCTAGGAATATGACTTTCATTCCATCATATTCCCTCTTGCTTGTTGCAATGTGCTCGACGGAACATTGTGTGCTATATAGAGGTGCGATAATGCTAACCACACTTCAAAGCAGCCATACGGGAGGCGGTCTTGTACCAAATGAACTAGTACAGCATGATGCCAACATCGAATAGCAACATCTTCGTCCGCGGAAGCTACAGGCAATCCAGTCGGGGGCACAAGCATATCGTACAACACAACCAGTAAGCTCTTACCATGATATCCGAGGGAATAGCTTACAGAAGCACAGCAAACAGCTATATCGAGAACAAGAGTGTATATACAACACATCAAGAAAGCGCGATTCAAGGGTAATTCGTGTATCAAGAGGTCCGCCGAATGAGTTCGTTGATCATCCGTCCGTCCGTCGCTACATCCCTAGGGCGAGCATTTAGCGATGATGGCCTATCCAGCAATGTGCGACGTACACGTCAAGCCGGTTATCCTCCGGCCTGCCACTCAGCCACTGCTCTCATTCTGGCTGCCCGACTCCGAGCGTGACTCGGAATGCGCAGGTGCGTCCCCGGTATCTGCCGTTTTGTTCTGACCCGTGTCGCCTCCTCGATGAGCGTCCGCGTTCTCGCGCTTCCGACCACCTCGCAAGAGCCTTGCCCCGCGTCCGCGTCTGCTTCTATTACTTCGCGTGCGACTCGATCTCAGCCCAATAAACTTCCTCTTCATCGTCAAGGTCTGCATCGTCCGTGTCCACAAGAGCGCAGCGCTTCGCAGGATCTTCCATTCGGGACGCCCTGCGTTTGACACGCCGATTCTCGCGCCGTTTTGCAAGCTCGTCATCCGCATCGAGCAATACATCGAATAGGCACCAGAGTCGCGGTGCGTGCGTCTCCATTGTCACCGCAAGTTGGCGTATAGTGAACGTTTCGAGCTTTTCCGGCGAAGCAGCGTTTGCTACGAAATGTAGCTCATCCAGCCTTGAAAGCTTGCGCACTTCGGATTGGTAGAGGTTCGAAGCCGTGCGGTCCGCCCAGTCCAGCAACTGCATGGGCTCCAAGCCTTGCAAAAACGCGTCGAGGACCACAGGGAGAGATTGACGTACTGTCCAGGCCAGGTGGTGACCCGGATGCCCTGGAGTAGCTAAGGCTGTAAATACTACGCGCGGCCTCGGCGAGGAACACCTTGTACTCGGCCATCTGCTTCTTGTCCGGGAACGAGATTCCGTAGACCCGCTGCAGTGAGTCATTGTTCGGATCACCGAGGAAATACGATGCCGAGTTCTATACGCATTGATCTCAGTAGCAGTGCCTGCGCACCTAAAGTGTGTTCACCTTGGTCACCATGAACACCTTGATCTTGCCCGTGTGTGGGATGTGAGGGCCAACGCAGAGATTGATCATGGGTCCGCAGCGGTACACCGTCGTCGCTCCGCCGTCAGGGATCTTCGTCTCGATGGAATACTTCTTGTATCTGTTGTACTGCCCGAACAGCATGAGCACGTCATCCAGACAATTAAATATATAGAAGTTACCCCGAACATCTCTAGCAGCTTCTCTTTTGAGACCAGGATCCGCTCAAACTTTTGCTTCTCCTTCACAGCCATGTCTGACAGCTTCTCTAGCGCAGAGTAGTCCGAGTTCTGCACAGCCCTGCATCACCAGTCAGCGGGGACCATATAACATCTGTGCGAGGTCATACCTGTCTTCCCGGACGAAGACACGAGACGAACACGACACAACGCACGCTCTTAATACCCATACCATCCTATCACGGACTTTACTACTGTACATAAGCCCTAAAACACACACTAATATTCCTACTGTACATAACATATAGCCCCACTACGATACTAACATCCCACCCCGCGGCGACGTTGCCTGTTTGGAGACACACCGAGCCAATGACTGGATAGACACCATCGCCTCGATACTATAAGTCTGTATATAGATAGTTAGAGTCTACATAGGGCTTCGCCCTCAGAGGACAATAAACGGGATTTACAAACAAACATACCTGTCTTCCATCGCCATTTCATAGAAGAAGCCATCGTCCGTGGGGGGAGGACGATGCATAGATGGCAACCGTAGTGACGCTCCGCAGTCTCGCCCAGGCTGTGCGCAGACGAGTGCCAGAAGACGTGTTTCCCTACGTCCAATCGTCACTGGTGGCCTTCCACAATGATTGAAGTACCACGCACCTTCCGGGTGCTGGAAGTCGAGCAACTCGAGCGTGCAGGAGCCCTCTAGCGGCCGCTCCAGATCCCACACGTCGCCGTTCAGCTAACGCAGTTCAGCACGAGCGTGCCCGGCGGAGGAGAGACGGTCGGAACCTTCGCACTCACGACGCGATCCGCGAGACCGTTGGAAATCTCCTTCGCGATGTCCATGGGGCTAGTCTCCCAGCTAGTGCCCTTGCGCTTCGAGTCGTCGGGCATTGTGATCTCGATCAGTCTCGATCTCTTAACGTGGTTGTGCTGTCTCGAAGCGTGAAACGGTGGCTCGACAATTGCTCAAGACATGGACACACCTTCGACCCATTCATCATGTTCCGACTTCAACTGGTCGAACACCTTTATGCGATGGTCGAAGTACGCTGGCCGTTGAGCTGTGGGAGATGAGCGACATGTCTATGCGACGCATACAGCACACATACCTCCAATGGCTGCCCACCCGCTGCCGCTGCTTTCTCCTTCTTCTCTTTAGGTTTCTTGCCCTCATTTTGGCCTAGATGAAGCCCTTCTAGGGCGGGCAGCTGCGCAGGCTGCGAGGAGGACGCGACTGACTGCGCCATGGTCGAATGCAAGCGAAGTTTGAAGGCCTGACAAGTCAGAACCCGAAGCGAAGATATACGCCGCGATTGTAGGTGCTGAAAGCGAGTCAGCACACGAAGCATGCAAGCAATCGATCCTGGTGACTCGGAGTGTATAAAAAGTAACGCTCGGCCTGAGAGTATGCCATTATGGGGCATTACACATGCCCGCTAGTGGTGATTTTGCTGTCCCGAAAAGGATAGAGGGCCCATAACGCTCTTATATGGTCCTATCGAGGTAAATCGATGGTGGTCGTCAATGCTGGAGTGGTCAGGCCTTCAGGGAGGAGGACAGTGCTTCTACATTTCGGAAATCGTCTAGGCGCGTTCACGCCGCCGAGCAGGATCTAGAGCTCCTGCTGGTTGAACATCCGCAACCACCGCGGCGTGATCATCTCCGAGAGGCCCTCGAAGAACGCCTCGCTCTGCTCCTTGATCTGCTTTGTCAGTCGGTAGTGGCTCACGAGGAAGATGTACTGCAGCCGGTTCTCGGGCGTGATGACGATGTTGCTCCCGTTCGGGATGAGGTCGACTGTGCGTGCGACGTCGAACTCTTGCACCACAACGGTGAAGTTGAGCGAGAGCTCTTCGGGATCGCCAGTGTTAATGCTTGAGGAAAATGAGTCCCTGATGGAGCTCTGGATCGAGCCAGGCCAGGAAGGACTGCTGGCCGAGCCACTGGGATGCGAATGAGTCTCCCGATCGAACGACGACGTCGAGCCGTGTACTCACCTTTGCAAGAAAGAACCCGGCAAACGCCACGTCGACTATAATCCCATCGTACAACGCCTTCCCCAGTATCCGCCCAATGAAGCGATACCAGGTCAAGCTATGCGCTACATACCACACAATCAGCGTCCACCCACACCTTTTCAAGGGACCAAACACTCACCCTCCGTCGCATACGAATGCGGGTTCGAATACAGCCCATTCTTCTTATTCGCCGACCACAGTCCGCGGCCCGTATGGACCACCTCCTGACACAGACTCGTCAAGAACTCCTTAAAAGACCCCCTCCGTCGATCCCCGCCTCCCCGTTCCTGAGCTGATCGACAAGCGTGATCGCGACGGGCGCGTGCAAGTCGATGTCGCCTAGGTGTTCGAACCCGCCCTGTGCGACGCTCTCCCGGCGCACGATCACCCGTGTTTTGGGATACAATGCGTGCCGCCTCGAGGTGGAGAGCAGCCCGCGCGCGACAAGGTCCGATGCGACGAACTGCCGGAAGATGGACACGCGCACTTCGAACGGAATCGCGAACGGGATATCGTTCAGCACCCCGAGGCGCGGGCTCATGTATGCGACTTGCCACTTCGTGGGCGTGCGCGCGTTGGATGACTGTTCGAGGTTCCGTTCTTCGAGGCTACGATGATGGAAGGTAAGAGTCAGCATACGAAGTGGTGGTTGCAGGACGTACATGGCAGCCTGGATGAACGGGATCACGTCGACCTGAGAGGTGACAAGCCAATGATCGGGCAGCTTGAACGGCCGGCGAGTCGCCGAGAGCTGCATCGCGAGGGGCGTGAGCACCTTGTACAGCGAGTTGTCAGGGTGCTTCGAGTCGCACACCGCGGACTTGGGGGGTGTCCGCCTTCACCTGCACGTCCTTCACCGTGAACGGCTGTTGCTGCCGAGCAGCACGTCAGGGAAAGCGTGCCCGATCATGTTGAGGAAGCTGGTCTTGCCGGGGAATTGTCATGTTGACGAACCTGCCTCCTTCGCCTGCTGTGCCAGCACCCGCATACACCATCGCAGACACTATCAGCCAAACACGCGCCTTCAAGATGAAGCATAGGCTACGCACCGCCTCGCCGCCAGGATCATCTGCGCCTTCCGCTCGCGCAAGCTCGCCTCCCGCTTCTCCGTGTTGTCCTCCCAATCCGCGCGCCCAGCGACCTCCTCGGGCGTCCGCGCCTCCACGACCTCGGACGACACCGCGACGCGGCCCTCGAGGTGGATGAGGTTCGCGGATTTGGACTGACTTAAGATCGAGGGCGCGGCGGGGGCTGTTGAGTCGAGGGCGCGCGGGTAGAGCGTGTAGTACGCGGATGGTGGCTGTGGGGTGTGAGCGTTGTAGCAGATCGGGATGGGTGGACAGACGTACTGCGGGGAGGAAGCCGCGCTCGAGGATGGTGTTGATGGATGTCTGCACGTATCCCGTTCATAGGAGGTCGTTCCGACTCGTATCGTATATTATCGCTGTCCGTGCCGCCACTTGTCAGCCGCTCTATCTGCAGAGCTCTTGTTATGGATGCGGTAGAGCGCATCAAGGCTGCGTACGCTAACGTATATAGGACTACCTTCGATAATCGCGACCCGCAGGCTTTCGTACCGCGTCCCTAGATTAATTAGTACATCTTGTATTCTTACTGTAATTACGTAAGCGCGCGCTCGCAGTCATCTCGCGCGCGTCCAGCAATTAGACGCCAGACCTTCTTGAACTCCTACCACACTCGTCCGTGTGCGATACCGCACCGTCCGAACCAGGAGGTAAGTCCCCAGCCGCGCGAGCTCCTCGCTCCTCGGCGCCCAGCGCGAGCTCCTCGCCGCTCTGAGGAGAAGCTCCTCGCTGTCTCCTACCCCAAGAGCGGCTCCTCGCCGTCTTGGCCTCCTGGGCTCCTCGCTGCAGGCACGCTTTCACCTCGCGGACCTCACCTCCGCGTACGTCCACGGCTCCTCGCGTCTCGGCTCCTCGCCAAGACTCGACGACTCGTGCCACGCTAGCTCCTCGCTAGTGCACGTCGGTATACGTGTCGCGGCGGCTCCTCGCCAACCCGACCGTATATCTCAGGCCGGCTCCTCGCCAGCACACGACCTTCACGACCCACTTACGACTCGGTCGCGGAGCGACCACCAACGTTCGAGCCGCCAGGCAGCCCGTTCCCTCCCAGTGCGAGTAGACGAAACCTCCGTCTCTCACATTGGTGGACACTCAGGGGAACGGTCCACTGCCCCATCGGTTCGTAGGCCTTAACCTCTACGTCTGTCTCCCCTTCGACCCGCCGCTATGACCGCGTGCACCCCCGCGGCGGGCACCTCATTTCTCGGCGACGCCTCACGGCCATCTCGCCCCTCGTCAGCCCTCCCTTCGGGATCGGCTTCACCTTTCACACAAATCTCCGTTCCGACTCCAGAGGGGACGGCCCGAAGTAAAGTCGCATCTATAGAGGACGTAGAGGACTCGGGAGGATCCCGTAAGTTGCCCATTACTTCCTCCCTTCCCCCTCTAGACCGAGTGCGCGAAAGTCTCCGCTCCTCGGTCTCTCCCCATCCGGTCGCTCCCCTCAACTTCCCGCGGACGATGCTCGTCCCGGGGAGTCTCGACGACGATTCCTCCACGGGAGCTCAACCCTCGCACGACCTCAAGCCGTCAACTTTCGTCGAGTCGCCTCGACCTCGACCGGCCGACGGCAGCTCGCAGACGGCGTTACCACCCGGATGGAGTGCCCGGCGGTCGCCTCCTATCACTCCTTCCCCCGCGAATTGGTTTTGCCCCGTGGAGGTCAACAACTCCGGAATGCCTGTCTACGTTCCCCAACCGGTGGCCACGTCGACTCCTTGGAAGTCGAACGATCCTTCCCATAACTCGGCCCCGTCGAACCCTTCGGTCTCGGTGGACGAAGCTATGCAAGCCGCTAAGGACGCAGTCGACAAGGTTCACCTCAAGGATCTAATGGATGGGACGGGTAGATTCAAGGTCCACCTTCGCAAGCCCGCGGAAGCTCAAGCTATCTTCAACGACCTCAACGCGCGGGACGCTCTAGGAAACTTCAGCACTCTATTCGAGGAAGCAAACGTCTTCATC